GTGCGGTACGTGAAGAGGTGCAGTACGTATGGGGCCCGCAGGTATGCCTTGCACTGCCACAGACTCAGCAGGGAGGCTTCCATATCCATGAATACTTTTTTGTTGGCGGTGCACAGCCCAAATCACCCAGACAAGGCGCAAGGGAACGCGCAAAACCCGAGCCTCATTTGGCAAAGCGTGAGGGCTGACCTTGTCGAAGCACTTGATCGTGTGAGCCAACATGGTTGTCGCGTGCCCCCCCGCAGTTCGCCGACCTCTTCTTCGAGGTTGTGGGCGCATGTGGAGTCCGAGGGAGCGTGGCGTTCACTGGTACCTTGGCTCGCCTCACGCTGGCACCGCGCGTGCGTCTCGGCAGACAGGGGCCGCCAGACGTTGGCCCAAACCCGTATCAGCGCGTTGCTGACTACGACCAGCCCTTGCCCTCCATCGGGCTTCCGTAACCCCGCCATCTCGCTTTGGATGCGATCCAAGGGTAGCGCGCGCTTCGTTCATCAATGCCGCCGGAAGATATCGTAGCTGGTCCCCACTCAGGTGCTCCATAGCTGTCGGTGGCGTGCGCGTGGGCCCCGTCGCCGCCTTGTGTTCAACGAGCGCGCGGCGCCCCGCATCTCTGCCAGCGTGATGGGGGGCAGGTTGTCCCAGCTGCTGGCGGTGGGGCGTAGTTGGGCATCGAGGAGGTCATGGGTGGTCCAGACCTTGGTCCAAGTTTCCAAGGTGGGGTTGGCCAGTGCGTGCACCTGGGCATCATTCTGGAATCCGGCGGCCTCTTGCGGAACTCGTAATTTAGAGGCAGCTCGTGCGCGACTGGCTCCTGGATTCGCAGGCGGTAGATCGCCTGGACAAGCTCCCTCTGTCGTCTTCGCTTGCGCGCGCGCTGGCGCCGCCGATTTTCGCGCCGTCGCCACTTCCCAGTGCGAAGTCGCCCGTGGCCATTTCTTTTCCACAAATGCGTAGTCGCCTCGCATTCGTGGGCGCTCCACGCCATGCGCTTGCTTTCAACACGCTCGCGTTCGCGTCTTCCCCGCCCGCGCGCAGGCCTTTATTCTGGCGACGCTCTGAGTATTGCTCTTCCTCTTCGTTGCCCCTGCGCCTGAGTCCTTCATGTGGCGCCGAGACGTGCTCGACATCATGTGCTGCCAAATTTGAAGGTCGGCAATCGCACAAAGCTTCGCATGGAATTTGTTTCCACTATGTGTGTTGTGGCTCCGTCTCATCCCTTGGCGCAGAGATTCAAATGGTTTTCGGAACCGTGGGATCACGCAGGTGATTCTGGGTTCACGACGTCGCGACTAACTTCACGGCATGCCGCAGTTGCCAACAAGTTGCAACGGCTTGCATCTGTCTGCGTGGTATTATTCGGTGGTTGCGTGCCAGCGACGCCGACGCATCCACTTTGCCAAATTGACGCGCCGCATAGCGTGGACAGTTGTGGTCGGACCCAATCGTGTGGACCACGTGTTCACGGTACTTCGCAGAGTGGATAAGATTTTGCTCAGCATCTCGCTCTTCTCTCAGATTCAGCCGCTCCTGGCGGCCCCGCGCGTTCACCCGCTTCAACTTTTCGCGGTGGCCTAGCATGGTTCTGCTGTGTGGGGCACGCGCGCGAGAGAGCCTTGGTTCGCAGTCGCTTCCGAGCGACGTTCGGGTTCGCTCGTGCAATGTATGCCAAAATGGCAATCTCATGCGCCGGGGAAAGCTTAAAACAGGCTTCCGTCTGCCCGATCCCCCCTTCACTTTCTTCCCCTTCCTTCTCTCACCGACTTATTTTCCCCGGCCCCCTATGACGTCCTCCGCTGGCCTGGTGGTCCACTCAGGTCGCGGGGGGGAATAGGGGGGGGTAGGGTCTTCTTTTCCCTGAACAGCTTGTGGCTCGTCGCCAGTGTGGGGGGGTGCGCCGTTCCTTCGGATGGGCACGCCCCCCCATGTGAATTTTCGACCCCGTCCCGCGCTCCTCTGTTTCTTTTTCCTCCTCCTCCTCCCCTCTGAATTCCAACGCCTTCGGCATGTCCGCCGACGGCGTCCTTGGCATGGTCTGCGGCTGGGGATGGCAGTGTGTTGCTTTGTGGTGGTTCCGATGCGTCTCCAAGGAGTGCGCGCAACCCACTGTCTGCTGGCGGGCCCAAGGCATTTGTTTAGAGTGCGAGCGTCCCGACGGCGCGCGGCAGGCCCGATGTGGTTGCCGAAATGCAAGCGTGTGTGGGGGGCCAAGGACACAGCGCCGGTGACGGTGCGGTAATCAGAACAGGGGTCCGAGCGGGGTGCTGGTGTAGGGGCGCAGGAACACGGCTCCTGGGACGAAGCACCTCGGACGCTGCGAGGGGTTTAGAGCATATGTCAGAGCGGGGGGTTCGAACAAGATCTGGGCGGAGGATTGTCGGGTGTAAGTTTCCAGATCGCAGTTCCTGGGGCGGCGCGGGGGTCAGTGCAAATGTCAGAGCGGGAATCTACAGCAGGGTCGGATCCAAGCGGAGCATTGTTGGTTGTGGGAACCCATGACCACAGTTTCTGCCACGGTGCGGGGGTCAGAGCGTGGGATTAGGACAGGGTCGGCATTGGACAGGACATGGTCGGGTGTCGGGGCCCAAGCACACAGCTCTTGGGACGGCGCGGGGGTCAGAGCGGGGGGCTCGGACCAGGACAAGGTGGGAATCGGGCGAAAATGGTCGGGTGTGGGGGCCCAGGAACAACGCTCATGGAATTGGTCGTGTGTGGGGGCCAAAAACACAGCTCCTGGGACGGTGCCGGGGTCGGGGCGGGGGGCTCGGACATGGTGTGAACTTGATGGAGATTGGTCGGGTGAAGGGGCCCCGAAACACAGGTCCTGGGATGGCGCGGGGGGTAGAGCGGGGGTTAGGACAGGGTCGGAACTGGACTGGAAATGGTCGGGTGTGGGGGTCCAACAACACAGCTCTTGGGACTGTGTGGGGGTCAGAGGGGGTCTACGCCATGGTCGGAATTGGACGGGGAATGGTACGGTGTGGGGGGCCCAATATCACAGCTCCTGGGAGGGCGCAGGGGGTCAGAGCGGGGATTTAGGTCGGGGTCAAAGCTGGACGGCAAATTGTCGAGTTTGGGGGTCCAATATCAAAACTCCCGGAACGGTGCGGGGGCCACAACGGGTGGCGAGGACAGGATCGGAACTGGACGGAAAATGGTCTGGTGTGGGGCCCCGGAACACAGCCCCTGGGACGGCGCAGAGGGTCAGTGCGGGGGGTTAGGTTGGGGTCAGAAGTGGACGGCACATTGCCGGGTTTGGGGGCCCAAAATCACAGGTCTTAGCACGGTGCGGGATCAGGGTGGGTGGGTCAGGAGAAGGTCGGAATTGGACAGAAAATGGTCGGGTGTGGGGGCCCAAAAACACAGCTCATGGGACGGTGTGGGGGTCAGAGCGGGGGGCTGGGACAGGGTCGGAACTGGGCAGGGACATTTATAGGTGCGGGGGCCCACGTTCCCAGGACGGTGCGGGGGTGAAAGCGGGGGGCGAGGGCAGGGTCGAGGAGGAGCGGACGAGGAGAGGAGCGAGGAGGATGATGATGAATGGGGGTTGCCACGCGGCAGTGGACCTTTCTCTGCCCGATCGGTATCATGACGCTCATTTCGGAGGCCTCGGCCCATTCCCCGGGGACGCGAATATATTGTAATTTATTTGGGTTTACGGCATCGACCGCGTGACTATGGTATAATTTACGTGGTTGTATAGCCTCGGGAACGCGAATACGTAGCACCCCGCAGTTGCGGGTAAAAGTGAAAGGGCGGTGGGCACGGCGGCAGCCTGCGAGACTCTGGGCGTTCTTGGGGCTTCTTGGGGCTCTTTTGGGGCGTCTTGGGGCCCTCTTGGGGCTCTTTGGGGGGGTCTGGGGGCCTTCTTGGGGCTCTTTTGGGTTCCCTGAGGGGCCTCTTGGGGCCGTCTTGGACCCTCTCGCTAAAAAAGAGGGGGGTCCTTAATTCGGACCCATCGGGGGCCCAAAAGTGGCGTCCGGGGGCCCTCTTGGCCCGCTCTTGGAGCGCTCTTGGGCGCTTTTGGGGCTGTTTTGGGGCCCTTTTGGACCCCTCTTGGGGTTATCTTGGACCGTCTTGGGGCCATCTTGAGGCCTCAAGAGCTCATCGGAGGCGAAAAAGCGAAAAGGCAAACACACATCGGTTTTCCACATGTTTTTGAAGGATTTTGGCCTCTTGGGGGGTCCTCGGAGGCCTCGGACAGCACTTGAAATCGTCTCGGGGCCGTTTTGAGGTCTCTTGGACGTGTGTCGGAGGCTATCTTGACCCATCTACCGCTATATTGGGCCATCTTGGAGGCCATCTTGTGCTCTCTGAGGCCCTCTTGGAGCCATCTTGGGCCATCTTGGACGCTGCTATGGGTCGGCCCCGCCCCGTCCAAACGCATGGATGGGGGGGAAGGTAAACCTTCCAAACAGGGAAGGGAAGGAGGTTGGACAAACAAACGCCCTAGACCACGTGCGCCCAGAGGGTTGGTGGGATTTACTAAGAATTATCGCTTCGGGGACGCGAGTATTATGTATTTTAATGTGTCACGCCCCCTCAGGAATTCAGACAACGCGATCTGGGCGTGGTAAAAAAAGGTGGGTTTGGGCCCCCCTCGCGCGTTCAGCAACAAGTTGCAGTAGGAAACAGAAGGCAGGACTGTAACATTGGAGACTTGAAACTGGAATTAGTGCAGGGAGCATGAAAGCCTAATCTTCGCAGCCTGATGGCCACGCAAAGGGGCCGGCGGATTTATAATTGCGTAGGGCGGAGATGGCAAATATGCGGACCATATAGAACCATAGCATAGAAGGTTCTACCTCCTTTCCGCTGACGCTAGAAACAATTTTTCTATCCCCTGGCGATACTGGGCGTGACCGTGGGGGGGAAGGGGTGAGGGAGGCCGGTCACGTCACGCTTCGTGTTGTTGCTGTCTGGGAGTGCTGCTCTTTGTCCTCCCGACTGGCGTTGCTCACAGTGTGTGTGTGTGTGTGTGTGTGTGTGTGCTCTTGTTTCGCAGCCAGTCCTGGTTCAAGAGTAGTCACAGTCTAGCTTTACATCTGCACACCGTACCCTTTCCGCTGCAGCGATGAGGGCGGTCTTTATCCTAGATGCATGCGCCATTCCGCCGACCCTCAGACCCATGGATTATTGACGACGTCTTGGGATGTTCTGGTGCCCTAGACAGGGCAAAATGACGGAGGATGAGGATGCATGATGATGATGAAGAGGAGGCGGAGGAGGAGGAGGAGGGATAATACCGTACCACCCCACATATGCGGATAAGAGTGAGGGGGCGGTGGGGGCGACGGCAGCCTGCGAGACTCTGGAGAAGCCCGCTGCAGGCGCCAAAGTTTCACACATTCTACAACGAGCCCGCCGCAGGCGCTGATTTTTTCGTTAAACTAATGTGGGTCGGTCGCGGGTGGGTCGTGAAAGGGTCGCGGCTGGGTCGCGGGTGGGTCGTGGGTGGGTCGATGTTGGGTCGTGGGTGGGTCGCGGGTGGGTCGCAAGTGGGTCGCGGGTGGGTCGCGGGTGGGTCGCGGATGGGTAGCCGGGGGGGTCGCGGGTTGGTCGCCGGTTGGGTTGTGGGTGGGTCGCGGGGTGGGTCGCGGGTGGGTCGCGGGGTGGGTCGCGGGTTGGTCGTGGGTTGGGTCGCGGGGTGGGTCGCGGGGTGGTGGGTCGCGGGGTGGGTCGCGGGGGGGACGCGGATAATAAACATTATGAACAAAAGCAACAACAGCAACATCAACAACGCAACAAACAGAACCCTCACCACCGATCCCAACTTGAGCCACGCACCCAGGGAGAATGGATGACCGTTCGGCCCCCTCACTCAAATACGCATTATGCAACGGACCAGGAGGAGGAGGGCAAGGTGAACGAGGAGGAGAGGTGCAGGAAGAGGGGGGCAGGTGGAGCAGAAATATCAACATCAGTCGGACGCAGTGGAGAAGGGGGAGGAGCAGGAGGGAGAAATCGGACGAGGTGAAGGAAGCTATTCTGAAGATGATCATGGGGAGGAGTAATCCAATAGCCCTTATAACGGCGACGATGGAACACAGTGCCGGGGAACTGCTTTGAACATCACCAGTCGTTCAAAGCAGTGCCCCGGCACTGCTTTGAACGATGCGGAAATGCGATCAGCAGGAGCCTTCGTCTGTTCCTTCTCCTCTTCTCGTCGCTGTATGCTCTTCCTTGTCCTCCCTCCTCCCCCGTTCCCTCTCTAATTAATTACCTCGTTCTCCCAGTCTCACGCGCACTCTTCCTCCCCCCTCTCCTCCTCCTCTTCCTGCTTCTCCTCCTCGTCCTCCTCCTCCTCCGCCTCCTCCCCCTCATTTGTTATATTTCTCCGTCCTTGTCCTCCTGTCCCCGTTCTCCTTCTCCCTCTCCTCCTCCTCCTCCTCCTCGTCGTCGTCGTCCTCCTCCTCTTCCTCCTCCTCCTCCTCCTCCTCCTCCTCTTCCTCCTCCTCCTCCTCCTCCTCCTCCTCCTCCTCCTCCCTTCTTCCTCCTCCTCCTCCTCCCCCTTTTCCTCTCCCTCCTCCTCCTCCTCCTCCTCCTCCCCCTTCCCCCTCTTCCTCCTCTGCTATCACTCCTCCATAATTCCTGTCCGCTCCTCCCCTTCACTGATCTTCCTCTTCGTCATCATCATCCCTTTCGTCGCACGCCTCTTAATCCTCAATCGGTTCCCAATCTTCTCGACTTTCTTGTCATCCGCGTCCTTGGCTGTTGGAGGGGCCTCAGGAATTCTCAGGGCTCTTGTGTTGCACGCGAAGGCACACCTCCCAGGAACGCATCATCCTCCTCACATTCACCCTCCTCCTCCTCATCCTCCTCCTCCATGCACGTTCGGCTCAAGCCCGCGCCGACGGTAGGTTTCACGGCGGTTGGGCGGGCTCGCGCCCGCCTCCGCGGCCTGCAGTCGGGGCAGAGATGCGTGCAGGGTGGGATGACAAAGCGGAAGAGGAAACACGGGCCGCAGTTGCGGATTCTTCAAAGAGCAGCGGCGGCGGTTGGGGAACAAGTGGGGGTTGGGGCGGCCGCAGTGGCGGATACGGCGGCGGAGGTGACCGCAGTGGCGGCTGGGGCGGCGGAGATTCTCTTGGCGGATGGAGAGGAAAAGCGCAGGATGGCGGCGACGGAAGTGACCGCAGTCGCGGATGGGAGGGCGGCGGATGGGGCGGCAACGGATGCGAGGGTTGGGGAATGGAGGGCGCCCGCTGGTGGGACGACGAGGGTGGCTGGTGGAATGCATGGGAAGGTGGCCGCTCGAGTGCCTCGGCAGGTTCTCCTGCCGCGGAGCCCGCGGCCGCAACAGCGGCGGGCAAAGGAGGCGGTCCCCTGCTTCCCCCAGGGCGCGAAGAACAAGGCGCAGTTGCGCTGTTTCAAATTGTGCGCAATGAGCCGCTGCCAATTTTCAAGTTGGAATTCTTCGAGAACTTCAGGGCGAACTGGAACGGCAATTATAAGCAGCACAACGCGGCCTTGAAGTGGTTCCGAGACGAGTACGAAGACCGAGAAAACCCTTTCGGCAGCCGCACGCCCGTCTTCGGAGGTACCGCAGTTGCGGAGGAAATTTCGAAGATCCTTAAGTACCGCGCAAAGGGGAAGGCGCAGGACAACAGGGATTGGGACTGGGACCACACTGTCAAAGTGCCGTGGTCTTGGCTGGAGATGGTCGCGCAGATGGATGGACCTACAATGCTGCGCGTCGTGTGCGGCCCTGACAATGACCGCAGTCGCGGGTTGGTCCGCTGCGAGTGCCGCCCGTGCCCTAGCAGTCTCGACAACATGAGGCACACGAAAGGGGTGGACAGAGGACAGGCGCAAAGAATCCCTCTGCCCCAGTGGGATTTCGTCCTCATCCGCGACGACGGCTCGGGCATTCGCGTCCACCCATCCTGGTCTAGCCCGAAGTTCAACACGTATGAGGTGGAGCCGCACTCGCATCCCGTGCGGGGCCCGAGGGCAGGTCTCGGCAAGAGCGATGGCCACGGAACGTTCACGTTCTGGAAGATGCTGCACGCCCATCCGAATCCTGGGCGGTTCGACGCGAGCAAGGGGGCGCATCTGCAACCGCGGTGGTCCGCGCAGCCTTGACACCGCAGTTGCGGGATTGCGCAGCCATGGAACCGCAGTTGCGGAAACCGATCGCGTGACGCCGCGCTCGTTTGACTCACTATGCGCGCTTTCGGCCGCAGTTGCGGCGCTGCCTTCAAGCGACTTCATACAGCTTGGCCGCAGTTGCGGCGCTCCCACGACTGACCGCTGTAATTAGGTGCTTCGGGCGCGCATCACCTCCGTTGAAGCACTCGTGACGTTAAGTAGCGCGGCCGCAGTTGCGGAGACAGGTACTTAAACAGATGGATCCGCAGTTGTTCGTCGTCCTCGTATCCCCTTCCCCGTCGTCCTCGTCGCAGTCTCCTCCCTCCGCCTTTCCTCCTCGTCGCAGTTCCTTCCGTTGGCCGTAGCCCGCCTCCGTTGGCCGAGTCATTTCCCGTCGTCCTCGTCGCTTTCCCCCCCGAGGGCCGCAGTTGCGGACTTTGTTGATTCCTCCTCCTCCGTTTCTTGCCCGTCATCCTCGTCGCAGTCCCCTTGCTCCTTTCACCCTCGTCTGAGCTCTTCGCGCCATCCTCTTCCGTCGCGTCCTCTCCATCCTCCTCTTCGCCTTCCTCGTCCTCATCCCCGCCGTCTCCCTCGTTGCCGTTCCTCTCCCAAGCCGGCCGCAGTTCCCCCGTCGGACGGGGGCCGCGCGCGGCCACGCCATGGACCCAGCTCGCAAAGCCGAGGTCGACAAGCGGTTCGCCGAGCTGAAGCAGCAACTGCGGGAAAGGCTCGGCGCGCAAGGGGCTGCCGCGGATGCCGCAGTCGCGGAGCCGACGGGGGACCGCAGTAGCGGAAGCCCCGAGCGACCGCCGCGCGAGGCCTCCCCGCAGTCGTCTAGCTCCTCGCGGTCGGCCATCGAATATCGGCCGCCGCCGCCGATAAGCGCTGCGAGTGGGAGCTCTGCTGGTGGGAGGCGCGAAGAGGCGCAGTTGCGCAGGGCGCACTTGACCCCCAAGGCAAAATGGGGGCCTCGGGCGCAGACGCCGACGAAGCAGCAGGACCAACCAGCAGTGACGGGAGCCGCCACCGAGACCGCAGTTGCGGGGGTGGCCGGCGAGCCAGGTGCCGCGCGCGGCTCATCTGGGAGCAGCGCGCCCTCGGCCGTGCTGCTCGCAGCCGAGTCCAAACGAGGCGCCCAACCCGAAGACGAGGCCGCCTCCCAGGAGAAAGCCGCCGAGACAACCGCCTCGGCCGATTCGCGGCCGAGGAAAAGGCCGCCTCCCACGGAAGACTCGCCGCTGTCAGAACCGCAGTCGCGGGGTCGCGCGGGGCCTCCGTCGGAACCGCAGTTGCGGGAAGATGCGGGAGCACCGCGGAAGAAGCAGCGGACCAGGTCCCCTCCAGGGATAAACTACTTTGGGGAACGCCCCAAGTGGAACGAAGGATTCCTTCGTACAGCAGACGGCAATCGGGTTCCGTCCACCATCGCTTTGGTGTTCAACGTGGTGGTCATCACGAAGGTGGCAACAAAGGAAGATGTCTTCAGGTGCATCTTGCACCAAACTGCGGCGGTCGTCTTCGTCGTATGGGACCCCGAGCTGTTCCGCACGGGGAACGTCGAAGGCGCTTGCAGCTACGACGTTCGCGTTGGACTCAGGAGTGCCATCGACAACGCTGTCACTATGAAAAACGCCTCCGAGGAGCCTTACTGGACGACGGTTCCCCTGTTCAGAGAGACGGGCCTGGTGCTCGTGCGCCCGCACATCATCGCAGAGACCGCAGTTGCGGGTCATGTTGTTGGGGCCACCCACGCCGTCACGATCCTGAGCTTTCGCCTGAAGGGCTCCGAGATGAATCCTGCCGCGGTGATCCGTTTTGCCGTCGTGTCCAGACACGCAGTCACCGAACGTCTCCAACACAAGATCACGCAAACAGAACAACAAGCGTGGCATCCAGCTTTCTTCAAGGACGCGGTTGCTGCCATCCATAAAAATGATGTGCGGTTCTTGTGCGGCCTGTTTGACATCCCGCCTGAGCAGCTCGCAGCATTGGGCCGCAGTT